ATTGCATATGAAACAAAGTTAAGTAAAGGGTAAAAATATGCTGTTATTATGAAAATCTTTAAATTTTTGTTTTTTATGCTTCTAAAATTAGCTTTTCATACATTAGTAATAAATATTTATTAAACCCTTATCACATACGATATTTGGTGGAACAGTTCTGAGAAACGCTCTTTGGCGAAATAGGGTTACCATCTTCACTTGGTAAACAGGTTGAAAGCCCAACAAGAATCAGTTATCGCTCAGATTGGCGAAAGTGATGTTTTCTTTCAAGTGACGTTTTCTTCTTCATGTTGTTTTGTATCGCTCACACTCTTTTCATTTTAAACTTTATTGTTAGTAATGGAAGATAATAGAAAGGTGATTGCTATCAAGTTAATCACTTTGATCACCACTCTGGCACTTAGTAACAGATAAACACACTTCTGGTTATAGCTATCAATTACATCAGTAATAGCCAAATTCTGTATGCACTAAAAATAGTTTAAAACATGTGCTGGATAAGTCTATTTATCAGACATTACTTATGTGTATTTTCTGTTGTCTGATTCCAATGAAAAATTTGATGGCTCACTGGAAATTTGTGACCTGGTAAAAGCATTTTCTTGACTAATTATGGCTCATAATTACTGTTTTCTGTCCATTCAAACAAACAAACAGACAAAAAAAAAAAAAAAAAAAAAAAAAAAAAAAAAAAAGACCTTCTATGACAAAAATCGTATGGCTAATGTTTACATCCTCACAGCCAGCAGATACTATTCAGCAAAATGAAGATCAAATAAAGTATATGAATACATAAGCAATCAAACATGTGCGAGTTGTTTACTGTCCCATAGAACCCTCGGTAATATACCTAAAACACATTAATTGTACCAACTCTAGAAATTAGGTGGTGCAAATCATGAGTTTGTTTTATGTGATTACGGCAAAGCCTTGAGGAATATATGCCTAACAGGAAGGATCCCTTTGGAGACAATTTTTTTAAACTGGCTCATGTACCAGTTACAAATGGGGAAAACAAGGAAACGCCCATGTAGCCAGCCCGTTCTCGGCATTCTAACCTGAGACAGAACTACCAGCGTTCAACGATGCGTCGGCCAATAGTAGGCCCGTGCACTTAATTGGAAAGTACAATCCATTATGTAAACAGACATGAAGGTGATAATCAGTTATGCACTGTTTTAAGTAATCAAATGTTATAAATGCACAGCTGTTAATTTCTTATTATTTATTAGTCATGTTTATATTACATACATCATACATATGATATACAGTCAAAAGTCGTTAATCCGGACTCGTTGGGACTCGGCGATTCCGGGTTATCGATTTTTCCGGATTATAGATCAGTTTAAATCTGGTAAGTGGCATGCAGAATTCTAAAATTAAAAATATGAAACATAATTTATGAAAAAAACAATTATGATCTAAAAGGTATCAAATTTACAAAAAAAAAAAAAAAAAAGCTTAATATTTATTGTTTACTTTATTAAACATTTTTCAATGTAGTAAGTTTAAGTTGCTCGTTTATGTGATATACTTCTTTCTTTAATTCATAAACAGACATAATTTGTTCAGTACAAAGTTCCACTGTTCAAGTCCTATAATTGCTGTGTCCAGAATACCGACTAATTTGACAATCGCCCGCTCCCCCCCCCCAAAGGATATGTCTTTATCCATTTTTTGCAGCAATTCCACTTTTTTTTTTAATGGACTTCGAAACATACTTTTGCTTTGTAGATCCTTTACATGTTAGTAAATATATATAGAAAGTTCAATTTGACATAATCAAAATTTCAAGCTTACTTTTATAAAATTGCTCTAACAGTCTGCAAAAAAATAATAAGCCGGATCCAATTCGAAGATTAAGGCACAATGCAATCTGCAACATTAACTGAATTAGATAATTTTAGCTTAGCTTATACTGTCCGTTATACATTAAACACGCATGCGTAAACTTATTATGCGCATGCGCACACGCATATTCGCAGCCGTAAAGGTCTTACGCATAAAGGTCTTATGCCGTAAAGGCCTTATGCGTCAACGCGACGCATGCGCAGAAAGTTTGTAGCTTTGAGGTCCGGCTTATGGGTGTCCGAATTAATGACTTTTGACTGTAATTATGAAGTAACCCAATAACAAATGTGGACTTCTTAGTCCAAATGCTATCAATTATTTTTCAACTGATTTTATATCCATACTAATTTGCAAATAACTGATGACTATGTTGCTGCCAATTACAGATCGTTATATGAATAAAAGAATTCAAATAAACATTTTGGCAATGTTTTTTTGTATCAACATACAATATGTACACATCTAATATATATTTACATACAGTAGAGAGATGCAATGGTTTAGAAGTTGTTAAATATATTATAGTATAATGTAAATGAATAGATTTATATTAATGATATATATACAAATTTTTTCATCATGCCTTATGATAAATTCAAATTTCAATGTTTCAATAGTAGCATTTACGATAAAAGTATAGTTCTAATGTATTATAATCCAAAAGTATTTCTTTAATAACATGAAAATAGACAATTTAATGAGTATTTCATTATTACATAAGTTATGCTTTTTTTTTATGCATCTTTTATGCTGTTTAAAATGTGTCACTGATTATGTAATTAACAATTAAAAGAAAGTAATAGGAAAAAGCGCGCATATGAAACGGATTTAAAAAATTATTCAAGTAAATTTAAGAAATAAAATTCTATTATAACAATGATAATAACACGGTCAGCACGAATATGACAAATTGATGAACTTCGGGCGACGAACATTTGTAAACAAATCCAAACTGCAGAAACGTCAAAAAATATTGTCAACTCGGAAATTTCCACGATATATTTAATTAATATATAAAACATTTTAAAATGACTCAGACAGTTATATTATAACAAAACAGCAGTAATTAAATCGCCCTCCATTTCCACCGTCCATGACTTTACAGTGAGAGCCATCGCCATGTTGAAAGTTACCCTTGATCCTTCAGAAGCAGAACTTTCATCTGATTGGTTGAACGTTCGAGGAACACATCTCCAGCGGGAACATTTTTGGAAAAGTTTTAAAATGTTGCTCGTAGCTGGGACATGTTCCTCCTAGCTAGATGAAACATTTCTTGGAAGCCTACTGCTTAAAGCAGTGCTACTAGAATCTCGTTTCTCAGAATTGTCTCGCATAGCCGCTCGCCTCCCTAGAAGTGATAGCCTCTTTAGGCATTATTAATGAAAATAAAGAAATTTCATACAAATAATTCTCAGTAAAAGTTCATTTGAAAATTTAAAGGTTCAAAATGACTGTTGCAAAATGAAGATTGTAACAAAGTGCATAAACCACATTCAGTATTATTATTCTTATAACAAATTTGCCAAATTTCAAAACATATGAGTATATAAATTCCAATATATCTTCAGAAATTTTGAAGCAGGTGTGTTTCTACTTTAAGGTGATGTTAAAGATTTTATAGGTCATAATTCAAATTTTTCATAATGAATTGCAACATATACAGAAAGGTCAATTTGGTGATTTTTTTTTTTTATCAGAACTACATTTCTGAAAATGAATTTTTGTTTTTAAAATATATAATGCCAAGTACTCTATTTTTGTTCTTTGGCCCATTAAATGCATAGAATTAATTTATATTGGGTCATCTGGAAAATTCTGCAGTGTTTGGGTGATAAATGCAAATGAAGCAATATAAAAATGCAAGAAAACTTTGTTGAATCGCATAAGCGCCATTTTATTTTATGATCTTTTTGTTATATGTTCAGCAGCTGGAAAATTTCTTTTTTAAAAAATACATTATATTTATTTATGAAAAAGTTATCGAATACGAGTTGTGTGTTGTTTGACAAATATCCAAGGAAGTAAACTCCAGGCCATTCAGAGAATTTTAATGTGACCTGTAAAGAGGAAGATCTGAGGAGACAACATCTGGTGAATGTATGGGATGACACAGAAAATCACAGCTATAACTCAAAATGTGTCTGACATTCATCAAAATGTGGAGCCGAGCAGTGTCATGATGGAAGAAAATTGACAATAGTTTAGTTCTAGATGCTTTGCTTCAATTTCTGCTTTTAAGACTGTCATTTGGGAACAGTATTTTTCTGAATTTATTGTCTAATTTGGTGGCAACATTCACAGAATACTGTTCCTTTATAGTTCCATACACAAAGCATTACTTTTTTAGGATGTAGCTTTCCTCTTGATTTAGTAAAAAAGATTTTTTTTTGACATAACCCATAAGTTTTTTCTTGTAACTTTATTATATAGTTTTCACTTCTGAACTTGAGCAATGAGCACTTTAAAAAGGGGAGCTTCTTTCTTTCTTTTCAGCAAACAATTGCATGCTAAAACACAAGAAACATATTCTGTTAAAATGTGGGTTATCTATTGACTTACTATATCCAGTCCTCCAGAAATGATCGTGTATAGCACTTTTCTGTACAGCTTGAAGTCTGCAGGTGTATTTAGTCTATGTAGCTCCTGAACTGTACATTATGGATCTTTAGCGAGAGCTTCTTTTAATAGGACCTTGTTTACAGAAGCTAATGATCCCATGCGGGCAGCATCTTCGAGGCTGAAATTTATTCTCCTAAACTTCTCAAACCACCTTTAAATTCATTATCAGAAATAGCTTTTTTCTCTATGGAACCGAAATTTTACAAGTCGTCTGATTAATATCCCCCTTTTTTAAATAAAAAATCATTATATGGTGCAAATGAATTTTGGGGCTGTCAATTCTTAGCATTGCACTGAAAATAAAACTTTGCCACAATACACATTAGAATTTTGCAACTTGAACAGAAAAGACTAAACAATATGTTTAAATATCTGCCTCGGTCAAGGTCACTCTTTATCAGCAGTAACAAAATAATTAGAAGGAAACACTCTTCATTTTGAAAAACTGCAGAACTTTCTGAATGACCTAATATATATAACATACATCCACACATCAAACATGTTTTGTATTGATGTTTGTTCATTTTTAGTTAAATGAATATCATACTGCACTGGAACAAGAAAGGTCAAAAGTCCATTCATTACAAATGGAACTTAAGAAATGTCAAGTAAGTATTTTCTTAAATCTAAAAATATTCCTTTTACTTAATATTATAACATATACTGCTGACTGCATGAAGATAAAAGATTTTCTCATGTGTAATACATATGGTATGTCTTAACTCTTACTTTAAGCAAAATTTTTTTCTTTGGTACCTTCACATTGTCCATAATTAAAAATGGTTTCTGAAAGAGAGGAAAGGTGTCTAAATGGGGGGGGGGGATTGTTCATGCCAATAAATCAAAGTTTGTATGATTAATTTTTAAATAACAGTTATGCTTATTAATCTGTTAACTGGGTATGACGAACTTTTTCGTCATGCTGGGAAGACTATTTCAATGGGTATGACAAAATTTTTCGTCATGCTGAGAAGACTATTTCAATGGGTATAAAGAAATTTTCTTCATGCTGGGAAGACTATTTCAATGGGTATGACGAAATTTTTCTTACATTTTTTCGCAATCTGTCACTTGACCATTGTTCAAGAAAATCGATCAATGGAAATACTTGTCCGCTCATAAAATTGTGATAACACTCCTAATTTTACACAATTTTAATTTCATTTTAGTCTGCATTTCAGTATTTTACATATTAGTAATAACTTGTTGATTTGAGTAATTGTTAGTTTTTATAAATATGGCTAAAAATTATTGTGAAGCAGAAAATTTTTTGAATTGCCTGAAGTGACGATGAAAATATTTGCCCGGGAGATTTGGTAAACGACGTCGAATTCTAAGATAAGTACCATTCGGAAGAAAGCGATAACGACTTCTTTACTGATGGTCTGGACATTGAATCAAAGGATGATGATGTTATACCAAAATACTCGACCGACATCAGCTGAATGGAAATGTGAAAGAATATTGTGATCGCCTTTCCAGTTTTTATCTCAATCTAGACTTACATTTAAAGGACCTGAAGAAAAGGATTGCCTTTTTTATTTCGAGAAATTTATCGATGAGAATTTTGTAGAACTTATTGTGAAACAATCAAACAAATACGCCAGACAGTTTTTTGAAAAAAATACTTCCATGAAACCGCGTTCAAGATGTCTCTCGTGGGTTGACACAAATGGCCGAGAGATGAGAGTATTTATTTTTTTACTAATTTTGAAAGTTATAATAGGAAAACCTTCTTATCAGCTTTATTTCACAAAGCGAGAAAGTCTGGAGACTCCATTTTTTTATAAAATTATGTCAGAAAAAAGATTCCAACTGTTAGTAAAATTTTTACATTTTAGTGAAACAATGCTTTCGATTCTAAAAGTGTGCAACAAAAAAACCTACAAAATCGATTCCATTTTGAACTATTTGAGAAACAAATTCAAGTTGTTATATGTACCAGATAAGGAAATATCTGTAGATGAGTCTCTTTTGCTATGGAAAGGAAGACTGTTCTTGGAAACAGTACATTCCATCGAAAAGAAAGTCGATTTGGATGTTAAATTGTATAAGATATGTGAAATGTAAATCCGGATACATAAGTGATTTCATTATATATACAGGTAAAGACGTGCTGTATGGTTTCGAACTATCCAGAAGAACAGGGACCAAATCGTATTGTTCTTGAATTGTGCCACGATTTGTTGGATAAGGGATATACGCTATATCTCGATAATTGGTATACTGGTACTGATCTAGCTGAAGAAGATGTGCAGAAGAAAAACCGATGTTGTAGGAACAATGCGAAAAAATAGAAAGGGAAATACCATCTGAAATAAAAAATTGTGTTTTGAAAAAAAAGATTAATACATTGCTAGGTACAGAGACAAAATAATGATTATGAAGTGGAAAGACAAAAAGGATTTAATTATATTGAGTACTATCCACGACAATAAATTTGTAGAAATAGGAAAACGATATCAAAACCAGAAGTTATCGCTGACTACAACAAAAATATGGGAGGAGTTGATCTTGCTGATGGACAAATGAAAACTTATGAAATCACTAGAAACCAAGTAAAAAAGTATTACTATAAGATATTTTTACATGCACTAGACATGGTGTGTTTGAATGCATATCTTTTATACAAGAAAGATGCGGTCACCTAGATAGGCTTCATTTCCTTATCAAAACTGTAGAAAAAGGTGTTGGAAAATACAGAGAAGGATCGCAGTTGCCATCTACTAGTACAGGACGATCATCTTTGACACCAAAACCATCTCGACTCTTTGAAAGACATTTTGCAGACTATATACCATCTGACTCTTCAAGAGTAAATGTAACGAGGAGATGCAAATTATGCTATTCCAAAGGTCTTAGGAAAGAATCGAGATTTTGGTGTCTCAACTGCAGTGTTGCTTTGTGTATGCCGCATTGCTTTAGGGAATAACATACGAAATAATTGTTTAAATTCATTCAATTATAGGAAAGAATCGAGATTTTGGTGTCTCGACTGCAGTGTTGCTTTATGTATGCCGCATTGCTTTAGGGAATATCATACGAAATAATTGTTTAAATTCGTTCAATTAATTTGTTTTTCCAGATTAAAAAGGTTTTATTTTAATATTTAATATCATTAAATATTTTAAAACGATTTTCTTTTATTTATTCCTTGCAATGTGCTGAAATTACTGCAAAGGAAAAAGTCCCCATTGTGAAACGATTTTACTGAAAGCTTATTCCCCAGTTAACAGGTTAATGCTTTATGTTTGAAGCTACCACTCATATTATTAAGATGACTGAGAGAAGCATTGGGATTTGCTTCATTTATGTTTTTATAAATTTCTGTGATCAGGGTTAAATTGCAATAACAAAATAATTTTTTATGTTGACTCTCGAGTTGCAATTCAGGTTGCTGTAGTGCATCGATTGACAACTGAGAATTATCTCACAAGTATAGAGGGTTGGTTTAAAAATTCTTAATTTTTTTTAAAGCAACAGTGCAAAACTGATGTAAGAAAATATCAAAAACACATTACTTATTTTTTTTATGAATTTTTATGGTTTATTCATACTTTTTTCAGTCATTTGAGAGGGTATTTGTTGCAAAGGCATTCAAAATGTAAAGCGTTTGGCATTTAGCTTAGCTCATGGTACAGTACAAACAGATTTTATTCGACATGATATTGCTTTTAGCACAGGACGTTTGAGTAAAGAAGCTTGGATTCCTTTGACTAGAAAGAGCCTTGCCAAATTTTCTTTCCCTTTTTTTTCCCCTGAATTAAAAAAAAAAAAAAAAGTACATTTTGTTAGAATTCATGATATCTCTGTGCTTCTGACTCTTTTTGAAAGGGGAAGAATAGAAATAGAGAAGAGAACATGAAGAGAGGAAGATTTAGAATAATGATTATATCAAGAAGTAGAGACATGGTGAGGGGTCATATAGTCTGTAAGAATACTAAATTCTACATTACAATGTAATACTACACTGTTGTATTGACTATGCTGTTGAAAGGTATGTCCATTTAAACTAAATATGTTTTTAACAGTTTGTGGTAATAAATTTGTTGTAAATCTACTAGTATTTTTAAAATAGTTGAAAAGAATAGATGTAGCACTGAAGGTTCAATGTTCATGGCATATGATTTGGAGTTTTAGATAAAGTATGAAAATGCTAGTCTTTTGGAATAGGTTAGTTTCAGATATTAATATATTTTATTAGATTTGGTAAACATTATGTTAGATTTCAGTAAATAGTAAAATCCCAATCCCCCCCCCCCAAAAAAATTTTTAATGAAAATGGGATTTGATGTATTAAGTTCATTTTACTTTCAGAGGAAAAGATTATCCTTATTTAAATACTTAATTTCAAAACTGAAACATTTGCCTACTATCACAAGATAAGTATGAGAGAAGAATCAAGCACTATTGAAACATTTTTACTGTTATTTCTTTAAAAAAAAAAAAAAAGTAATACACCTATTAGATGTTAAATAAAAATTTAAGCAATTTATATATATATAAATTTTGAAGACGTCATTTCCTAAAATGACTTATATATGTATAGGTTTGAGATCTACCTTCTTAACTGATGCAACCATTTTTCTTGAAACGATAGACATTTAAAGGACGAAACAGGAACAAATACAGATGTTTATATGGTTTTAAAAATTGGGCAAATTCAATGATTAAAAAATGTTTCAAGATCAGCTCACATTCACTGTTATTGAAAATATTAATTCAAGAGCAGCTATTTCCCATCAGATCTGGGAATCGCACTGTAATTGATCACTGTATGTCTGCTGTATCAGTACACACTGGCTGAGGAAGACTTCATTCTTCTGTGAAGAACAATCCCATCTGCCTGGGTAACGCGGAGGATTCAACATTCCAGAAGTGCCCAGCAACAGAAACGGTGTTGCCATTTCCACAACTTGGCCTCTCATGATGGTTAATTGCGCTTGCCTATCCTGTGTCACACTGGTCTGGGATGTCAAGCTGAAAATCAAGTATCAACATCATCATCATAAATAAATTTAAACATAAAAGAAAGCAGAAGAAAAAATTACCTGATATTTCACAATTTGAAAGAGGTATTGTGAGTTACTTAACTATGGGATCATATGGTCAGTTGCAGTGAATGGCTCATTAATTTTAGATTATTATATAATTTGTTTTATGAATTGAAAAAGAAAAAGGATAGAAAATGTTGCTAAAGAACAAATCCTGAATAAAAGTAGTTTTTTATATTTATAAACTAAAACTAAATACTTAACAGGAAAATAAAAGCCTGACCACATTCCTCTGAAACTATTTCAAATAGCTTAGGGCCTTATCACGTCTAAATCCAGCACTGCTGATGCCATAAGACACAGTTTTCTTTTGAGTTTTTCAGGAAGAGAGAAAAAAAAATCAGTTTTAAAGATACTCAAATTGCTATATTGTTATAGTTAGAATGATAAAAGAGAAGTCAGTCATAGTTTTGGGATCCACTCTTCAAGGAAAATTGCATGAATTTGTCAAGAGAATTGGAAGTAGGTAAAAATGGTTTGTGAAGAGGAACCTGTATTTTGCTAATGCCTATGTGTTAAGGAAGAAGGGATGTCCTTTCAAATGAGCTATCGAAGATTAGAGGGGAAAAGGCCTGAAAATTTTGATGATAGTATTATGATATTTCTGACTGTGGCGAAAGTGGATTATTTTATTGGGCCTTTCTAGAGAAAGATGTTAGGTAAAAGATTCAAAGATAAATCATGTAGCATCAGAAAACATAATAGAAAAAGGATGAGAACTATGTTTTATGATAAAATGGATGCAGAGGATATGGTTTGTTTCCAGACTAGGAGAAAAATTGAAGAAGCTTTGGGGGCATCAAGTTTTTAATCTGTCATTTATAAAGTGAACTCGAAAGCTTGTATGACCAGTTTGCTGTTTGAAAGCTGGTTAATTAAACATACTGAAAATATGATAATGGAAATCATTGAGTGTTGTTCATTTTAGATAACTGCATGGCTCACATGATTAGAGAAGAAATTTCTTCTATTAGATTGTGCTGTGCTTCCTTCTATCAAAATTGGCATCAATCCTCTAACCTTCAAACCAGGGCAAGGGCTTATACCAAATCTGCAACTATTTTAATGAAAGTTACTCATTCAGAAATTAATTCATGATGTAGAGAATGGTTCTGGTGCAGAGATTTATTTCTATTCTGAAAGCAATAAAAATGATGTGTGCAGTAGGGAAATAAGTGTAGGTGATAATGATTGCAAACTGCTTCGAATATTGGTTTTGCAATTAATGGAACTCCAGCAAAAAATGTGAAAGGTGATGTTTTTTTTGGGGGGGTCAATATAAGTAAAGCAGCATCCATACAACTGATGAAGATCTTGTTGTGTTTTAATATTAGAAAAAAATGTGTGAAAAACCTGGAGAATTAGGAATTTATGATTTTAATCAAGATAAATATTGAAAAGCAAAATTAGTATTGCCATACTATCTTGCTCCAAAGCTATCTTAGTAGTAGAAGCTATATATCAACATATGCAAGGAATTGAGAAGTGAATTGAATTTGATGTGTATCAAAATTAAATAATGTTGAAGATATTTTTTAACTAAATAATAATCAATTATTTGTAATGATATTAATATTGTAATTAAATTACATTATGTATTATTAGTAAGGTAAAAATGAATTAGTAAACCCAACATTTCTTTAGTGTCCTCTCAGTAATTATTTACTAAGGCTTTACTCTATATATGTTTAAAGAGTATACATATATTCTGTATATGAGTATGTGTGTGTATACATACTATATCATACATAATATGTGTATTGGTGGGAGAATACTGATTTCTGTTGCTTAATGTAATTTTGTTTAGTGTGCATAAATTAGTGGATTAGTTAATTGTTTTAAACAAGACTTTTCTGTATTTGTTGTATCCCATTGTTTTATATTTACATTCAGTCTATTTCTATTTTACAGAATAGCAGGAAGCAAAGAACAGAGTCTAAATAGTAAGATATGTAGTGCAATGGTGTTTGGCTAAAAGAACTGTGGTAACAGGCAGTAACTGGAGGATCTGAAGATGTTGGAAAAACGGGGAAGCTTTGCAGCTGGTTATTTATGTATATTAGGTGCTCATTTGCTGGAATGTGTATTTCTGTCATTTACTGCAGTTCTATTTTTTTTAATCATTTGATGCCATGTGATTTTTTTTTTATTAGAGGTATTATTAAAATTACCATTTTGTATTTTTAAAATTTTTAATTTTGATAACTTCATTATCTCTTCATTTTCTTAATTTGTTACTTTTGTTTGCTATTGAGCCATGTTTGCTAATGCTTCAGTGTTTGTTTTCATAATGGCCATTTTGTAAATATGTATTAATTTACATGTATAATTTTCTTATTACTTATGAATATGTTAAACTGAAATGTATGAATCATGCAATGAAAAAAATGTAAAACAGGCATTATATAAAATTTTCTTATGATTCTATTTTAATGTTTTTATGGTCTAAAATAACTTTAAAAAAAATCTTGTATTGCACTACCTATGTAATTATTTTTGGAAAAAAATGGTTTACTGCAATCTGTGCCAAACAGAATGTAATGTTTTCAGCTGCTGAAAGCTGCTATAAAAATATTTGAAACTTACTGGACATAAGTTTTTGATATTTTAATAACTCTCAGTAATAGGAAAATAAAACACTGAAATGAAGGAATTTGCAAAGCTGTCTTAATAAAAGTATTTTAAAATGTTGTTTTGGTTGTATTTTGGAGTATACAAGTTGATTTTCATTGTATTCTGTAGAATTATAACAGCATTCTGAGTGATAACAATGTAAATTAAGGGAAGAGAAGTGGAATGCTCTTATTACTTGTTGGATATTTTGCTTCCAAATAAAGATATTTTTTATAATACAGGAATGGTGATTAAGTGAAACAGGTAAGGTCACTCTAATCTGTTCTCTTTAGATAAAATATTAAGCTTAACATTGTCATGATACTTTTTCTCACAGAAGAATAAATAATATTATAAAACCAAAATTTGATAAATCATTGTCAACCATGCGACATCCTTGATGTAACTTTCAAACTAAAATTGCATATTATTTCTTCCTTAGTAACAAATTGTGTATTGTAATAATATTCAAAATGGCCAGTGAGTTTCTTAAAATAGTTGTTTGATATTTCTCAGTGAGCAATGAAATTGTTAAAAAAAATCTAGTATTTGAATTGATTATTCTATACAATATTTCATTATTACTAATAATGATTAATGAGTTAGTTTCAGTTATGGTATTTAATAACTCATAAAAGTGAAATTTTAAAAGTATAATTAACTCCTGTAAAATTTTGTATTTTATCATATGTTCATCTTTTTCCGTTAGAAAGTAGATATTTCAAAGATAACAAAATTGTTCTTGCTCTGAAAGTTGCATAGTATGCACAAATATACAACTTAAAGTATTTTTGTGCAGCTTTAAAAAAAAAAAAAAAAGAAAGGTTAGTTTGATTATGGCTAGGCATGTCCTTTCGAAGGACTTCTTAGGGAAAATGGCTTATATTGTAGAGACATTAGGTATTCTTTTGGAAGCAGGCAAGATGAAAAATTAGCAACACGTTCACCGGCAATCGAACCACGGACCTTCAATTACGCGCTGAGCCTGCAGACCACCACACCACGAAGGCTCACTAAGAAGGCAGGAGAAATACCTTATAATATCTACATTACTCATTGAAAATGAGGGGAGAAGAAAATTCATCTTTTTTTCTTTCTACAATACTTTTGTTCATGTTTAGATTGCATTGGGTAGATTGTTATGGTAGAATCACTAAGGTATTTATAGACATAAATATGATGTAACATATAAATCTATGTTTGAAACACTTGTTACATAGCATGTATTTATGTGGTAATTAAGTTTTTACCACTGTACACATTGTAGTAAATCTATTTGGAATTTTTAGCTAAAAGAGTAGAATTAACTGTAATTCTACTCTTTTCGCTTTCCAGAAATCTCACACCGCCGATTTAAAAAGCTATAAAAGCCGGAGAGAAACATCAGAGCTCAGTTTTTAAGATCCTGCTATTTTAAGCTCGTAGAAAAGACCTCGCTCCATCATTGGATGCGAATACGGTATCTATCCTCCAGCTAAAAGACGTAGACATGCCCCTCTCTTTTCAGTTCCATTGCCCGACCCATGAAGGAAGGACGTACTGCCATAATTGCTATCTTCTTACTCCAATTTTACTGAAAAGTGGCCACTTCTGCATTGTTATCAATCTGTTCACTACTTAATCACATAATGCCCACAGAAATAAATCTCTGCCCTGGATATTTCCTTGCGAAAAATTGAATACATCACTATGATTAGTGCCATATGTCAATGTGCCTATTAATATGTAAAATCTTTCTTATCCGCTTTCTGCTTTAGTGTTGTATTTATGTGTTATAAAACTAAAAGATACAAAAAAAAAGAAAAAAAGTTTAAAACCAAAAAAACTTCCACAAAAAAAAATCAAAACTTGATTTTTCCTATCCCTAAACTTTCTCGATCTAATGTGCCTCTGTGCATCATGATAACTATTTATGCATTTTTTCTATTTCTGCTCACTACTTAGATATTTTTCTGATGTGGAGATACATAGTTTTGAACCATAGGCACTCCGTAATTTATAATCATTGGCATTGGCATGAACTCAGTTAGAATTTGTGCCGGAGTAGCTCAAGGGTCCGTTTTAGGACCTGTTTTTGTACCTTTATTACATAAAAGACTTCCCTAAGTTACAGAACGACAGCAATAGCTTTCTTGGATGATATTGCGTTAGTGATTAAATCCATCTGCCCCACACATGCTATTCAAAAGCTACAGGACTTTATACCTAATATTGAGGACTATTACATCAAATGGCATGCCACCATAAATACTCAAAAATTGCAGTTTATGGTTATCAGGAGAAGACAAAGAATGATAATTAATGCAAATCTCAATCTTTCAATGAAGCAGTTCCGTTGGTAAAAAAAACTACTTATTTAGGAATAGTTATCAACCACAATTTTACCTTACTACAATTGTCTGATCACATTGCCAAAGTCAGATGCAAGACATTGTGCATCACTCATCAGTTAAATCCCCTGCTAAGTAAACACTCAAATTTCAGTCAAGAAAAGGCACATCTTCACTACTATCATCAGACGTGTACTTTGCTACGTCTCACCAGCATGGGCTGCGGCCTCAAAATCGGATATTGCAGAGTTCCAAGTCACTCAAAATAAATAACTACGCCTTATCACGAATGCCCACTATTTGATAAGCAATGATACCTTGCACAAAGACTTAGACAGCTAAAAGACGTAGAATTAGATTATGTGTGAATTGTGAAAATTGAATATATGGAGGATTATCTGCAGTGAATGAATGAAAAAAATTCTTCATCAAAGCATTCACATGTACTCATCTAAGTTCTCTAAATAGTATTTTGAATTATGAAATACTTCAAGAAGATCATGATATTCGCCCACTCGCGGCTCATCATCTCACCCGAGACTCTAATTTCCCTACCTAACTACTCCGCTGTATATAGCGTAATATAGTTTTAATTACTTATCTAGTACTTTAATTTTATTTTGTAATTTTTTCTTATATGAATAAATGCATTGTGTCTTTTATGCTCTCTGCTTTCACCCTTATATAATCTTCACGCAGTTTTTAGGATCACACTCATTGCTTCTCCATTTTACGACTTTACTTGGTTCACAGGGCTTGTGACTGACGGCCACACCGCCTTTCTCCACCTCCTTAGTCCTCTCTTGGGATATCACAGTCATGTAATTCTCACATTAAATGCCATATAGTCAAAAATTTTGTTACTGAGCCAGACACATTGCGCTGCCACACAATATCCCGGCATAAAATGCTCGGATCGGATTGATCAGCTCAGTTGTTTAAATAACTTGTTTTTGATTGTAGCAAATTTGCGGCGAGATCGGATTAGCTTTCTCTGAGCTTTGGATTGTGTGTTATTTAATGTTTTAGTAGTTTAAAATATAGCTGATTATATATTGCAATATTATATGAATATATTTGAGGAAAATGCAGCATTTTTTTATATTTCTTGTTGTAAGAATAAATTTCATTAACTTTTTATTGGACTTGTGCATTCAATCTATTACGAACACGTACACAGGCAACACTATTTTACAGCCGTGCTTATTGCGTCCCTGTTAGTCTAGGCCGGTGATTTTAGGTAAGAGCCAACTATGCAGTAACAACTCTGTGTAGCTTATTATTCTACTTAGCATTAGTTAGTTTGTGTTTTCTTTTTTTAAGTTCAAGCCATAGTTGCTGGCTCCCTGTATGCCCAAGTGGGGCTATTTGTGAATATCTTTGAGGTAAAAGGTTATTTTAACCCTTCTCCTGAATTGTTACTTATGCAATCAGAACTTGGCGAATAGTCACTTTGCCAGTAATAATAGTCACTTCGTAGTTCTTCCAGATTCTACCAGTGAAATAACTTGTTTATGTTTGAGCTATGTTTTGAACTGCGCATGCATTAGATAATTTAGCTAGAACGTTACAACGTACTATAAACGTTAAAGAAAAAACAATTATGTTGTATAATATAAGCTTACTATTCTTTGTTGAGCCATGAGCCATTGTTTACTAACGTTAATGTCACTCCCTTGTTCCCGGAATTCCTCTTTAAAATATATACAGTTTGTTATCTTCTATTAACTTTTTTATGTACACTGCGGGGGGAAAAGGGGAGACAGTTTTGTATCTTCCGTTCTACTGAGCCGATTGACGAAATTCAACTTGCGATTTTCAAGTCTCAAAAACGCGACTTAGGATATGTTTTAGATTTATATATAGCATTGTTCTACTACAGGTATTTTGAAACAAAATCAGACTCTTTATGAAATGAAATGCCAATTTTTTTTTTCCATATTTAAATTCTGTGACTAATCGAAATATGGAAAAAAATTGGCATGTCATTTCAGAAAAAGTCCGATTTTATATCAAAAATACCTATATTAGAACAATTCTATATATTAATCTAATATATATCCTAAGTTGCGCTTTCGAGACATGAAAAAAGCAATTTAATTTTCGTCAATCGGCCTAGTAGAACAAGATGTATAGAACTGCCCCCTTTTTTATTTATTTATTTTTTGCGCAGTGTACACCCCTTGTTCGTTTTAGAAGAGAAGATGGGTATTTTTTGAAAGAATAGAGTTAGAGTGTTATTTTGTTTCTTGAGTATAAAGTTGAATAATAAACTCAATAAGTGGTACGCATTTATTCTACTTTATTATGTGCGAATTCAAATATCATTGAGCAGGATTACAGATGAGTCAGTAATAATAGAATTAGCAACTGATTCAAGTTGCGTATTTGATGAACTATTTTTTAATGCAGTTCCTTTACTGAAAGCGTAATAAATAATGTCGTCATCTGAATATATTTGTAAATATGTTTTTATTTTGATTTATGTTTTGCATCAAATTTTGATTACACACAATACTGCTTGCACCTGACTTAACGGACGATATTCCATTCGAGTATGCGTCATTCTGGTAAAGATAACAGGTAGTCAGAGGTAGGCGCTGAACAATTAAATGCGGGAACTTCATTCCTCACGTTCGGGTATTTAATTGAAGCAGCACTGCACTTTCACATCTACAATTCATCCCGTGCCTTCTTATTGTTGTATAGGCGACTATCGTTTCTTTTCCCTCCATTTCCGGGTACTGTATTTGAATTTAGTTGAGAGGTAAGATTTCGTTTTTAGTGACTTAGCTCTTTTCTAAACGTAATCGCTATCAAATTTTAGAGTTGTCAAGAGCGATAGTATTTCTACTGATAAATGCATGTGGTAGCTATGTTTTGAACTGCGCATGCATTAGATTTAAGTGCAGAAGTGTATTATATATATATATATTCCTGAAATTGTAATATTTTAGTACTTGTTATAAAAAATGCAGCAAAACCCGGTTATTCGGATAGTTGGACTCCTGTCAATAATTCTCACTGAAATTCTTTAATCATCATGCGTAATTCTTTCGCCTGTATGTCATATATAGCATATGATGTTACCGTGAAGTTCCTCTTTTAGTAATACTTAATGCGGATTACTATAAAATTTACTGAAATGAATTATATATATATATATATTAAAAAAAAACTGCTACTTAGATTTGAAGCATTAGCAGTACAAGTACGCACTGAAAAATAAAGCAAATTAAGAAGAAAATAAATTGGTTCATAACTAGTTTTAAATTCTTAATTACTGAACAAAGAGATATTTTATGCTATATAATTAATATCCATCAAGAACCAATAAAAATTCCTTGATAACAATTTTATTTTTATGAGTTTTCGTTGTGTAGGTTAGAAAAAAAATTTTTTTTTACTACAAAAATAATATTTGTAGTAATGATTTATTTTAGCAGTTTTGGTACAGTGAAAATAAATACAAAATTTTATTTTAAATTTAGCAATCTAAAATTTAAGAAAAATTAATTTCATATTCATGCTTTAAATGTCTCCTTTATAATGATTAATCTTGTTTACTAATTTGATTGAAAATGTGCTTTGTTCTTTTGCGAAATTAAAAATAATATTCTTAATTATATAATCTTTGTTGAAATAAAATCGATTAACAATAAAATAAAATTTCTTTCCATGCATTGTAGCCACACTATCGGGAGTTTTCGAATATTCTTATAAATTATTACGGATATTTGAACTTACTCATTATGTAATTATTTTATTATTGTCTGCGTAACATAACATCATCTTGCAATTAAATTTACTACATATTCCTCATATATATTAATTTCCAATAATTTATGATTTGGTGTCATTTTATTAATTAACAAAAAGGCTGTTTCAACTTTACTCCAAGAAGAGATTTCATGTAATATGATCCAGCTGTACGTTTCCATCTTTTTTTTTTTTTTTTTTTTTTTTTTTTTTTTTTTTTTGTGTTTGTGTGTGTGTGTGTGTGTGTTGTGTGTATTCTCCCAATAAGTCAGAGCAGGTTGATAAAATGAAGCAATAGCTTCTCGAAATTCACTAACTTCCTATTATGTCATGTCTCATCAAGTTTTTTAGTCCAAAGGGACAATTTGCCCTGGAGGACTATTATTTTCCGTTTTGGTATTATGCGTTGGGTCATTATAAACGTCGGTTTCACTTTTCAAATTGTCGCCACCAAATATTATCGTCCTGTATTATATTTAAAGAAATTAAATAATGATAAATCTGCATGAATGTACGTACGTTTCTCGCATTAAAGCCATCAAAATTTGAATAACATAATCTTCCATAGAATATGAGCATGTGGAAGTCCTAATTTGAATTTGAAATTTCTCTTATTATCGATTTCATATTTTGTAACACTTCAACGAATTTTTGATTAACAAACTAAACGATTTCAAATCAATGGCAACACTGTACGAAGTATACTTCGTACAGTGTTGCCATTGCACAAAACATTTTTATCTCCAACGCGCGAGACTCTGTATCGGAAATTCTAAAGATATGCTCATTTTAAAATTATTTTGCCTTATTGCTGTTGAACTGAATTTTATGGTTTAAATACGAAGAACATGATATTTAATAAATTAAGGTAACACACGAAATGTTAAAAATACGCTCCTTTGGACGTTAATTTAAAATCTGAAAGTTTTCAGTTTTTTTTTTTTTTTTTTTTTTTTTTTTTTTTTTTTTTTTTTAATTATAGTCGATAATTCTGGTACTTTAAATTTGTTTTTAAATTATTTATTGGAATAAAGTTATCCTCTGTCTTGCTCAATATAACTTTCAGAGCATCGGTTGAAGCATTTACATCAAATACAAACTCAGCTTGATTTTCAAATGTAATAATTTACGAAATATTGAAGCCTGAATGTCTGTAAAATGTAGTCAAGCTTCTGCCACTAGATTTTCAAAAGAATTTTAAAATAAACACGGGGCACTTTTCTTAGGATTAAAAGTAAGCCTTCAGTGATAAAAACGTTTGCAGTAATCTTTCAATGGTTGCAAGTAATGCTAACCATCTTCTTGGTGAGTATCCTAGTATCATTGAAAAATCGTTTTCTACGAAGCTGCAGAAATTTTTCAGTGTTTTTTCTACTCTAACAGTATAAGATTTAAATTATACCTTAGAACATTCCTATATCAACTGTTAAAACATGAGCTGATGTTTTATTATGTGATGGATAATATGCGCTGCACATCCGATTCCCGTTGTTAAGGTTTCGCTTCAATTTAACAAAAACATTATTTTCTCTACGTCTATCATCTCCAAATTAGAATTCGTATTATCGGCACAAAGACTAATAACTTTATCTTTTAAATTATTTTCTTCAAGTTAAGATAGGTAGTTAAATAGTTGCTGAAAATATCGGATGATACACCAGGTAAGGATTTAAATTCTAAAATTTTTACTTTAATTCCATAACTCCAGTCTGTAAATCTAACAAGTGCTGGAAATTTTTTTTTTTTCCTTCTTTGTGATTGGATGCATCACTTAAGATTGAAACAAATTAACATTTTTCCAAATCAATGTGCGAAGCTCTTAAATCGTAAGGCTTGAAAACGTTTAGTATTATTGTTTCGGCGTTAGTTCGCGCACATGTATAATATAAGTTGAAATGCCACTTCAGGTACCTTGGACGTACAATCCATAGACCTAAAGCTATGGTTGTGGTAGACAGTATAATGGTTTGCAATACTGAAGCTAATTCTTCTTCCTTGTCACCCATTTTCTCCTCTTTGAAAAAATTCTTAAATGACGAGCTATATGCAACAGCAGAGTTAGGCATTTTATGTTTTATAAACTGTTTATATTAATTCTTCTTCCTTGTCACCCGTTTTCTCCTCTTTGAAAAAATTCTTAAATGACGAGCTATATGCAACAGCAGAGTTAGGCATTTTATAAACTGTAACTATTATAAACTGTTTATATAAACTTTAATATCTGTACGTCCACCATGGCTTATTTAAGATTTTGAAGAATATGTATTGCACCGTACATCGGAATCGCTTATAGTTTTTCCAAGAAATGGGTAATATAAGATGCCTCGCTACATATTTGTTTAGTAAGCTAAGATGTGCCTTATGCATTCATTTAAATTAATTTAATAACTTCTCAAAAATATTTGTTTAGCCTGTCTTTGTCTATACTCTCTTTTTATAGTATTATATAAACCAATAAAAAAGAAATAAATTTACAAGTTTTATTTTTTTGGCCTAGAATAGAAAGAAAAAGCAATCGGCATAATTTGAGGTTCAGATATCTGGAACCCGGACAGTTAGGTGCTGCCCCATATCGAAATTGGAGAATGTGTTCGGAATACTGCAATTATCTTGAATTTTGCTATGATGGAAATTGAACACTTTTTAATTCAACAACGCGTTGAAAATATTTCCTTTTGTGAGGTCGTTAATTTGGTTCATGCATTAAGGTTATATAAGGCTGAAGAGATTAAAGACGAAATTTTGTTTGGACTTATTAACTTCGAAATTTGAAGAACTAAAGCGCTAAATCATTCTTTTGCATAAACTGCACTTTAAAGACGACGTAAACGGCTACTCTGAAACTAGCGATATGGTGACGCTTGAATCCAAAATCTTTAACTCAAGAAGCCTACGTTTTATCCAGTAGGCAACAAGAGCAACCTTAAATTGATGTAGATATATTTTAAGAAAAATTCAAAATCTGGGATTTCGAAATCCATCCTTATTTTCTCACGACAATCTATTGATTTAGATTATTCTGTAAAAATTATCAACCATACATAATGATTGATTATTAAGGTTTATTACTGCTAATAAACTTGATAATTTTCCTTTAGATAATTTATAAAGCTATTTATTCTATTAGCATATGAATTTTTTTTTAAAGATTAGTCCATTTGACTTTTTCTTTTTCTTTTTCTTTTTTTTCAAGAAGAATTTTTGAAAGTGCAATCATTTAAACACCATGGTATAAATTGAAACGAGATGCCTGAAACTGACGTGTCAAGGGTCAAAAAGTTAAGTCAACTCACGCATCCTCCGGTCGTCCGGAAAATGCCGCTTCTGATTGGTCAACCCTTTCCGCCCGAACGCGTTACCGCGTTGGTTTGCACTGGACTTAAGGCATGTTACCCAGATATATGGTATACATATACAGTAAACTCTCGCTACAACGATACCCGATACAACAATAACTCCCTCTACTACAATAATGTTTTGTGGTCCCGGTGATTTTGCATATAAACTAATGTTAATCTCCCCTCAATATTGCTATATTCTCTAGAACAATAAACCTCTGTAAAACGATTTTTTCAATCTAAATTTCAATATTATTTTCTCCCTTTATAATAATATTTTGATTTTCAAATGCTTTTTTTTTTCGTAATATTTTGTTATTTTTTCCGTCTATTAAGACTCATTGTAGATATTCAACTTATCCCTGAATAAATAGCTATTGTTCAGATTTCAAAACAGATGAAGACCACTCTTTTGGGAATTGGAGTGGGTGAGGGGGTGAAGTGTAAATGTATGCCTAGTCTCATTTCCCAGTAAGCTTTGGAATTCTGATAAGGTTTAAGGACATCTAGACCTGTCTGGTCACCTTGTCACAGAACAAGTGCCCTTTGTTAGAGGAACAGGGGGAGATGGAGGCAGGGTGTTGTTAAGTGACGTACTGAAAAGTGAGTTCAAAGGTTGTTTGATAGTCTTTAACGATTTTGAGTTCGACGCGAAACATTTGGTTTAAAC